CTTTTCTCCCCCCCCCTTATTTCTCCCCCCCCCCCCCCCCCCCCCCCCACGTAACGCGCAGCTGACGACAACCCCTCTCGCGCGTTCTCGACGCGACAGGGTGGTATTGCCCACCAGGCGCAATCGATCCGTTCGCGCTCGCCTGCGGAGGGCCGGAGCACTACTGCCCCGAAGGCTCAGGCAGACCGTTGCCGGTCGATCGTGGCTACTTCGCCGGAGAGGTCGGGAGCGATTTGTCGGGGGCGTCCGGAGGATTCAGCCTTCAGGTCTGTAGCACTGCAATAACATTTCTTTCTTTTCGGGGTTATACACGATTCAGTACGAGACTATCTGGATACCGGGGGACGGGGGCACTGAGCTCGACGGGATGGGTGGGGGATAGACAGAGGATAGCAGGGGTGCATCGGGATCTACCTATCTGCGATGATGGCACTTGGTGTCTTGCGATGGATGGCCTGCACCGAGATCCACACCTGGTTCTCTTGATAGCTCAAGGGGAAGAAGGCAAGGGGTGTCTCCACTTTGTGCGCGCTTAGTTTGCGCTTGGCTGCTACAAACAAAAACACCGTCATGGACGCATCGCCGCATCCATGGCTCATCCACATGTACAAAGAAAACCTGCAACACTTCGCCTTCGATTTCGACCAGCTTGTCCCCGCCGTTGCCCCTGCATCCTGGCCTTCGTTGATCGGTTCGCGCAGTTTCGCTGCCCGGTTGGACGCTACTGCGTGGGAGGGGTGTCGTGGCCGTGTCCCGCCGGCCGCTTCGGCGCGTCCGAGCTCTCGGTCAACTCTTCCTGCACAGGATCGTGCGGCCCGGGCCACTACTGCCCCGAAGGGAGTCACCGATCCGACCAGGTGAGGCAAGAAAAAGCGCTCGGCGTGCTTCCCGGCTCGAAAGAGGCCGCTCGTGGGAGCGCTTTGAAACAATACTCTGCATATCCGCCTCTCGTGGTCACACGACGACATCATCAGCCCAAAACACACATTCCGCCGATATTACGCTGACGCTGGAGCCACCAAGAGGTTGGTTTTCGTTTAGATGCCACAAAACAAAACAAGTACAATATGGCAACTGGTCAGGCACTCTTTCGCAACGCATGAACAACGACGTTTTCGGGTGCATACACGGGAGCCAGCAAGAGATACATTTATTGCGAAGCCTTGTTGGTCGAGCGGTGAAATCCCCCCCCCCCCCCCCCCCCCAAAGTGCGGGGCTATAAGCTACAGGCTGCATAGGAGGGTGAGGCCCGC